ACACTTTCTGAGAAACTTCCCAAAAGGCCACCCATCCCAAAATTGCTCCATGTCAAGCACACTTAACTGTGGAGTTCTCATAGAACGAGCTACCAAAAAGAAGATGCATCTTGTTGGTATAGGTAGTACAAATTAATCCTTATAAGGCTTCATTTAACCATGCAGTCCTATACCTGTATAGCCTTAGGACCCCTCTCATTCGATGTGAATTCAGTTTTTCACTAGAAGCTGCTAGGAGTGTCTCATTGTCATGCCTCATTCATCGACAACCACTCCCTCGCCAAGCTTCTAGGAGTGTCTTGTTGCCATGCCCCATGCACCAACAACCACTCCCTCTTCCTCGGGTGTTACATGTAACCACTCTCCGCCCTCTTCGGCCTTGGGTGTTACACCTGGCGTGTACCAACTTCAAAACAATATCATTACCATACATCTGCAAGTTGAAATAGTCAACTTCGAAAATCACCTCAAACTTCCTCAAGATAATTAAAACAAGCTCTTGGACAAACACAAAAATAACAAATTAAAACAAACTATTATAAACATACTAAAAGATCGGGTGAAATTGAATTAAATAAGTTGAAAAGTAAAGATTTGAGAATTTTAAAGTCCAATTTCAACTTGTTTAACCAATTCAACACACTACCTATACTAATACAATAAAAACAATAAAGAAACTAAAAACAATATAACATGCTTGTTTTACGTCGTAAGCTCGACGCCTATTAATTATAAACCGACACGTTGCTTTGGAAGAGCCAAATACTTTCACTCCCGCTTTTGCTCTCATCTCTTTGATTTATAACCGGAATTACATATCTAACCATACTTTTGGCAAACGTGAAGAGAAACAAATATATACATTATATTCACAAGTATGTAAAACATGTAAATTTCACAAATATGGTAAACATATACAAGTATCAATATAAACAAGTGAAAATAGACAATATATACGATATCTACAAAACTCAAAAACAAAGAAACTATCACAACGCGATCCAATAAAAAAACCAATCCCCGACAACGGCGCCATTTTGTTGGTGTGGTAAAGCGGCAAGCAACAAAAGTTTTTGGAAGTATTTATCCAGGAAATTATCATGTCCATAGAGTTTAGTGTTATTGAACTGTCGTTCGACAATTTAAATATCATTGAGTTTGGGTTTATATATACAAAAGGAAAAATATAAAACAAGAAAATAAATACATTCTTAAGAAATGTGAAAAATCGAAAGGAATTATATTTCGTTCTACCCATCATGTACTAAAAAATATATGGATCAAATACACGCAGCCTGAATCACTCGTTAATATCATTATGTATCGCTCACAATAGAGGTTATGTCTAACGCAAAGTCGAGAGATTAATCGTATCGTCTCATCAGTGATGTCTCACATAACTCAACAACACGGAGCATTAAGAACTGATACCCGCGTGAATATTAGACCTAAATCTATGTCTAGAGTTTAGAATTTAATAGGTGTTCATCTTCGATCGAGTTTGAGCCATATATGTCTATAGCAATTCAAACCCATTAAGTAAAATATCAAAGATAACCATCGACAAAGAGTTGTAAAATAGATTTTATACAAAGATCTATAAATATACATATAATCAAGATAAACTTACATACAAAACCCCCAACAAATAGAGGGTACAAAGAGAAGAGAGAAGAAAAACACAAATCTCACGGTTTGTCTACTCTGGTTAAAGTAGATTTGACTCCAGATCATCAAGATGCACACTCCATGTGTTGTTTTTAAGCTAAATCTACTAAAAATGAAGGTTTGATGAATTAGGAACAAATACCCCAAAACATACCCTAAAAAAATGTGTTTTTACCCCTTTTAATGTATTTCTGCCAGACAAATTCGTCTGGCGAAGCAACGGTTTGTTCGGAGAGATAAGGTGGATTTTTATGCAGCTTCTGGAATTTCTGACTCGCCTCAGGCTCGCCCAGCAAGCTTGGGGCGAGAGCTGATAGTAGAAAAATTCAGCATCTTGTTTTCTTAATAACTTTCAAACCGTAACTCCGATTGAGGCCCAGTCAGAAGCGTTGAAAAGCTTATTCAATGCTCTATATAACAATGAATAAATATAAATGCTTGAATACCTACAAAAATGAGATAAAAACAATTAAATTCAATGATATTTACACGAAAATACTAGTATACACTAAATATACACTTTTACAAACAAAGTGGGTTTTATTCAAAGAATTCAATACAAATGAATTGATAAGTGTCGCAAAACTACTACTTAAAACATGATATTTTGGCACTTATTATTAACCGGGGAAAGATATCTATATTACAAGGATTCGTGATACGTGTCTATAACTTTAGACATGGAGTTGGTCGGGAAAAGATGTCTTGATGTGGTTTCCAATTAGTGATTGTTTGAGTTGGTGGACTCAAGAGACATGTTTCCATATATTGCAAACTGTGTGAACTTAAGTCTTATCCCTTTCCCTTTTGATTTGAGATAGAAATTTATTAGAACCTTGTAGAGCCTAGTGAACTCATAAGATAGTAGAACTCACTGAGATTATTCTTTCACCCCATTGTTGTTATTTTTCAGGTATTGTTTGCAGGTCTAGTTTGCAAGTGGAGCTATGCTTGGGTGTTTCAAGGGAAACTTAAATTATGTTTTTCGTTGTGTATTGCTTACCTTGTATCTTGTACATTGAAGGATATTGTACCTTGATCTTAGTTTTGTTGTTTTGCCACTTTCCTTATCTTGTACCATAAGTTGTCTTTTATGTTTAGAAATGGTCAAGTATGTAAGTTATGCCAATAGACACTTATGATGATGTTGGTACCAAATAATAACTATTGTATGGTATTATACAGAGTGTTACAGATTACACTCTGCCCATCGTCGGATCCATGTGTAGCTATCGAGAGGATATGTTTGGGGAAAGATCATCGTCCAAGTATGGCTTGTGGTTGATGAAAATGACAATTAAGTCTTCCTCTTTCGCAAATAATGACGACGATGAATCGAGATCGGATGAGTATTACTTAGAATCTCCATTGAGGATTTCAGATGTATCTTTCCAAATGTATCTTTTCCACTGTGGATAGCCGATATTGGCTCTTCATTCATTGTTTTGACATTTCGAGTTGCCGAAAATAATTAGGAAATCGTCAGCAGGATGGTGAGTTTGGAAAGGTCATCGTATATAAATGGTTGTGTGGCTCAGGAAAGTTTTACCAGACCCACGGTGGGTGCCTAATGTTCTTGCGAAAAATATCAACTAGTTAACCTCCCTAATGCCATTCAGAAGAGGTCACAAATGTGTATGAGATTGGTCGAGAATTTCTTAGATAATTTCCCCTCTTTTTAACATTCGCTCCCACTTTCTTATATAGTGTACCTTTTTCTCCATATTGAATCCTAAGGGACTCCATTAATCCATCATAATTGTAACTACTGGAATGATGTAGCGCTCTTAGTAAATATTCACCCATGTAACGTTCGCAACCGCCGTATTCCGTAGTTATAATACCCTTAATTAGATATTATAACAAATCCAATAATGATTTCGTAATTGATCTGTGACCCTCGGGCTAAACCTCGACCGTTACAGATGAGTTATCATCCCGTCATCACGTCTAAACCGTCTTAAATGTCTACCTCAGACACACTACTACTATCCCGACATCGGCCATCAAACCGAATTTCTATTGGATATAACTTCTTTTGCTTATGAAGCTGGTTTGACAATATTGAACACTCAGACATGAGAATCGACATTGTAAAATAAAATTCTAGGATGTACACCTCCTTTAATTTTCTAGCATTCATTAATATTTCTATTGCATTGGTGCATTATTCAATGGTTTGTATGTCATTTAAGTTAAATTGTATTTATACACATTTAATGTGTAAGCTTAGGTCTACGATGTATCAATTTTTAGTCCAATTATGCCTTAAATGAGTATCTATGTAAAGTGTTTTTAATCGCCTTGTTTAAAGCGGATTTGGTTATCTTGTGATTAACTTGCAATCGAAGTAATCAGGTCCTTAGTGATATCTTGTAATATTTCAGTTGTTTTAACTTATTGAGATGCTTCCGAGCTCTCTCTTAGTGTTGTGTTTTTCTTCCGCATTTCTTAAAATCTATGATTTCGTTTATACGATCTAAAATATTTTTGAAACTATTTTTTAAGATCTATTTAATTTTTCTTTCAAGACCTCTTTGTATTCATATTCTCACCCAACAAAAATATCATACTCTCTCTATTATTACAAAACTACCATAATTTCGAATAATCTTTTTATCACTATTGTTTTGGAAGTCTTATGTTATTTTATTTTTTTAATATTTATTTATTGTTTATAAATTTTTCTGTGAAAATTATTTCCAATGTAATTTTCTGCAGATTTTTCAAATATAATTTTAAAATACAATTTTTATTAAAATCCGTAAGCAATTGTGAGGGAAATAATTTTCGTAGACAAGTCCACATAAAATTTCATACGCGTAAATTTTTGCAGAAAAGTTCTGTAAAATAAAATAAAATATAATTAAAAAATGAAATAGGAGGCTCTGCCAATTCAGTCGATGATTGCACTTGAAAGTAATTTTTTTTCTTGAAAAGATAATATTTTAGAGTTTATAAAAAATGATAGTTTGGTATCTAACATGAAAAAAGAAGATATATATTGTAAAGAATTCATATTGAAGAGTAAAATTTAATTGGACTTGAAAGTGATGGGAGAAAATCTTTCAAACCCATGGCTCAATATAGTCCATCAGCCTTCTCTTTTTGGGTTTGGACATTAGCAACACACAATCTACTTTTCTATAATAAATCCCACCTAAAATCCTATCATTTCATTTTTTTTTAATCTCTAAAATCGGAACAAAGCACTAGCATAGCCCTTAAACAATATCTTGTAATCATTCACCTGTCAATCACCAAAACATTATAAAAAACAGGACAAACAGAACAGCGTCTGTGCTTTGTTCAAACACAAAAAAGGACAAAACATGGCAGGAATGCTTCCTGGAGTTGAATCTGCTAGAAGGAGACGTGTCCACAAGGCTGGATGTTTTTCTGATTCACCATCTTTAGCTTCTAATAACAGACGCTCTTCTCTCTGCTTGTATTCAAGTAACCCTGAATCTCGTCTTTCTTCGTCTTCTTCAATGGTTTGTTCCCTTTTTGTTCTTATGTTTTGATTTATTATCTATCAATTATCAATTTTAATGGGTATGTTTGAATTTTATTTATAAAGCAAAGAAACATGCAAGATGAGAATATGGTAGGAGCAGCCAGAGAGGCTAAACAACGATTGGATGACAAATTCAGATCACATAGGGTATCAGAAAACACAAGGTATTGAAAAACATAACTTTTTTTTTTCTTTAATGATGTCAAGAACTCAGATCTGGTTTTTTTATGATCAGAATACAGGATATTTATTTATTTATTTAATCAAATTTATGTTTTATTATATAAAAATATTTATTATTTAGATTCATTGAATAGAATCTAAAAAGTCAATTACTATTTTCTAGAATATAGAGTTAAATGAATGAATCTAGGAGATGTTTTTCTGTTTACTACTACTTATGAAAAGTTGTTATGAATTAGTAGGAAAAAGAACATAAAGTGTGTGGAGAGTAGAAAAGAAAGCATAGAGGAGTTACAAATTGAGGTGTATGGTTCAAAGAAAAGTGGTCCAAGGAAGTTCAGTTGGAGCAAATTGAGCTGGAAAGCATCAGAACAAGAAGATTGTGCTGTATGTTTGGAATCATTTAAGATTGGAGAGAAATTGATTCCTCTACCATGTGCACACAAGTTTCATTCTACATGCTTGAGACCTTGGTTGGAAAATAACTCACACTGTCCATGTTGTAGAACTACCATTCTTTCTCTCTAGTTTTTTACTTTTCCTTAATTGTCTAAATTTGTACTAGGAGACTTGGTTTGATGGATTGGAATAAGTTTTTTACCTTGACTATAGCGTTTTCTTAATGGATGGATTACAACTGATAAGTATTTGAGATGATCATTTATGAGGAGTTAAACATGTTAAATTTGGTGATAAAATTATTTTTCAATTTTTGACAGGATGGTCTGAAATAAGTTCTCATTTAGGTTGTACGTTTGATTCGCATTGGAGTATAGGACAAAGAGAAACTGCCCGGCACAAATTCTGCATATAAAGTCTTTTTCTTACGTTGTTTGATAAATAATAGACAGCACGTACAAATTAGTATAAAATTTCCTATAATATTATTTGTCGGTGTTTTTCGTAAATAATTACGAATTTGAAAGTTTATAAAATTAATTCAAAAGAAAATTTAAATAATTTATGCAAATAATTTGTGTGAACACACGTCCGTGTGAATTAAATGCAGTGTAACAAAAGATTTTAAGTGAAATTGATTTTAAGTGAAATTAAATTGTGATAAATGATAAGGTAAAATGAGGAAATAATATTAAACAAAATAAATGAAAACGTGTATGTTTCTTTTAAGGAAGTGAAAAAAATTAAGAAAAAGGGTGGACGTAGACGCATACATGTTTCTCGCTCATCTGTTTCGCTATTTGACTCGGGTACTTCAGTTGTATGGAGAGTGTGTGTGAAACTTTGTGACCTCTGATCCCATGTATGAGTCTGCCATTTATTATATTTCCAAAGTAATTGTCGACGACGGTTATGACCACTGCGGAACTATTGCGTTTACTCCACGTTCAATTTTCAAGTTCCCACTGGCGTGCTTACGTGTATTCCAAGACGTTTATCTTTTGCAATCCACGTTGAGTGGTAACTGCTTTCCACTTCCTCACGATCCCTCAACGGTAATTGTCCCAACGTCTTATAGATGTTGCCTATCAAGGACTAAAGACTTTTAAATTTACTAAGTCTTTTATACCATGATGTTCGGTTGACTGGTCCTATGGATGAAATGAGGGCTTTTGTCGACTGTCCTTCCCGAGATTCTGAACATGCTTCTTTCGACTGTCCTTTTTGAGATTTTGGACATATTTTTCGGCGATCTAGGTCTTGGGGATTTATCCTTGAGAGTCATCCAAATCATGTCTCGCAGTGTCGACAACTCAGTCGACCCTTCGTCGTTGATCTGTCGACGACTTACCATTGATGTTTTTTTAAAGATCCGTCATTAATGTTCTCACAATAAACACCTTTTCATTGACTTTCTAGTAGCTAAAAATCCAAGTGTAACATATGCCCCCGAAAAATGTCATTGTCTATATGAGGGGAGAAAAGTGACATGTTTGTAACTACTCCGTAAATGTTCACATTTTGTGCCATGTCACCTCAATCATGCTTGTTGCCATTCATTATGACTAACTTTTATACCAATACACATGTCACAGACATGTGTGCAGACTCACTATGATTACCTCTTATTCCTTAGGAAAACTAAGTGAAATGGAAATGCTCTAACTTCCATTTTGTTTTTTTCCATGGCTTTTATATGCCATTTGTCGAATCAACCACCACGTGGCCGATCTTTTCTCAGACAAAAACTTAATTGTTTCTTCATTCTTTATTTAAACTTGCTTGTTCAAACACTTTCTACCTTCATATTTCTGCAACTTGCCTCACTGAACCAAAAATCCCTAGCTTTTCCTTTTTTTTCTTACATCCTTACTCTACAAAACCCATATCCTTCAATGCGCTTCCAGTATAATCCCATGTGGGCTTTGCAATCGAAATTGAGCTTCTTATCATCATGGATGATTGTGCCTACGTACCGGAGCTTCCCTTGGAAACATAACACACACAAAATCTAGTATCATTCTACCTTCATCCCTTACGTGTTTGTCGGTAAGGTGCATGCATTTATGGGCCCCTTTCCAAAATACATTAAGAAACCCCAATTGCTACAGAATTATTTTCCTATATATTGTGACTATGAACCATTGGAGTTCATTGATGAACCTTTGAAGTTTAACTTCTTCAAGAACCGGGTCTTCCGTTCTTCTCCGCCCATGGATGATGTTGAGTATATTAAGTGGTTGGGTATGGTTGAAAGGAAAAATGCACACTACTGGAAAGATTTAGGGATTTATGATATAATTCAGCTATCCAGAGTAAGTCTCTCTTACAATCCTCATATGCTAATTGCTTCCATGTGTTTTTGGGATACTTCCACCAAGATTTTTCAACTACCCTATGGGATGACAACTCTCATTTTCTTCGATATAGCTGCTATAACTGGTCTTCGTTCAACTGGGATGAACTTCGATCATGTAAAGGTTACCAGAACGGATCCTCCTTTCTCCTTCTCTAGAACAGCTTACCACTCTTTCATAAAGGATCATCGAAGGGCAACCCACGACATTTCTGCGTAGGAACCTATCACGTTTCTTACTTACTGACTGTCGAGGTATGTGTTATGCGCTCGATCTTCTTAGCTAGCTAAAAAATAGGTGCCCTTACAACCCAGCCCTATGACGGCAGGAAAATATGTATGAGCCAACTAATGTACGAGTCTCTGGCTTTGGTTGTGACTGATGTAAGACCAGAAAATCCTGACAGCCCATAAATAAGTGAACCTATTTGGCTTCTTTAGTTGTTGCTAAACGCCACTTTTGAATCTTCTCTGAAGTTTAGAAGTTCCTCCTAACTCGAAGGAGAGAATGAAAGGCCTTCAACTAGTTAAGCTTACCCTGGACTATGTGAAGGACATTGCTCTAGAGATCTTTGAAGATTACTTCTAGATGTTTTATCTGTGTAAAATATTCACTGAGTCGATGGCCCCATTTTCCAATCGATGGTGCGGTCCTGAATGGTCTAGGAAACCTTATCTAACGAGTCTCGACGAGAGAAAGATGAGATCAAGAGGTTTTTATTTTCCTGCTTCAATCCCACTGTTTAATGGACGAGGCTTACCACTTCAATGGTCGGTTTGAGTGTAACGCCCCAATTTATTTAATTTATTTTTTTTTAAAATTAAATTATGTGATGTTGTGTAATTATATGTGTGATTGGTGTTTTTGGTGTGTTAGGGATACCCTTGGTGTGGGGTAGTATCATTAAATAGTAGAATTAAGGTGTTGAGGGTGTGTGAGCAAAAGTGTAGGACTTGGTGGTGTAGTCGGTAAGACTAATTAAATTATATTAGTTAATATTTAGTTAATTATATAATATTAGGTGAATATTAATTTAATTAAATAATTGATGATAATTATTATTATCATTTTAATAATAAAAAAAATAATAATAATTTAATAAAATAGAATAAGAGAGAGGAAATTGGGAGGAAGTTGTCAGAACATGAAAAACCAGAGAAAAGTAAAAAGAAGATGCTAGGGCTCAAGATTTTGGGGTTTGAGACTTTGGAAAAGTGATTTCTTGTGTTAAAATGTGGAACAAATGATTTGTATGAAAAATAGAGTTTTGGGATGGGTTTAAAATGATTTTTCGTTTGAAAAGTTGTAGAAAAAGTGCTTCTGCCAACAATGTAATTGATTGTCAGAAAGGTTACACTACTTTAAAAAGCTGTTTTTTGGGCATTCTGTGAAGGTTTAATCAGTTATCAGGAATGTGGTAACTGGTTACACTGTGTGTGTTTTGCGTAGTAGTGGATGGTTACAGGGGTGTAACCGGTTATCTCAAATGGTGTAACCGGTTACATTAGGAATAATTTTTGAAAAATTTCTAAAATTCATAACTTCAATTTCGAGTGTCCGATTCGGGTGTCGTTTGAAGTGTTATGAAGTTGATGTGACGAACTTTATTCTAAAATTGATTTTAGTACCTAAAAATGAATGTTTTTTTTGTGTGATGGTGTTAAATGCATTATAGTTTTTATATTGTGGTGTGACATTATCTTAAATGGATTGTTGTAGATTGCTATACTGTATGTTGATGTTGCTGAATTGTTACAACGTGTGTTTGGTGCATGGTGGCCAGTATTGGCGAAGTATATTGACTATGGTGGTGACGGTCATTATGCTTGGTGTTGTTGTTGTATGTTGCATGCATTTATGGTGTTGGACGATGGTCCGTTTTTGGTGAGCCTCAGTCCTAATTAGGGATTGAGTGTGAGTAGCTTATTTCGAAGGTGATGGAATTAGTGAAGCGTTATCGGCGGTGATTATAACGAATTGGCGAGCTTTGATCTTAGGTGGGGATCGGAGCGGTGAACCTGAGAGTTCACATATTGGTACCATATGCATTGAGTCAAGTTGTGAGTCGCATTGCACTGCATATTAGTTGCGTTGTTATTATGTTTGGATGGTTGTTATGTTGGTTATGTGGAAGTGTATTGTGGAATGGGTTATGTGCATGTAACAATCAGATGCTTGCTTATTATTATGCATTCCTTTATATAATTATGATATCTCACCCCTTATGTTTGAATGTTGCCTTTACATGGGCATCGTGCATATAATCCGCAGTAGAATAGTGGATGTTTGTGGTTGATTATGTCTTCCTTTATTTTAGAGTCGGCGTTTACTCTGACGTGTAACATTGGGGGTTGACGTATGTGTGTCTATTTCCGTTGATGGATAATAATGTTATCTCATATGTTGAATTTTCGTTATAATTATATTTTTTTCATAATTATATTTTGAATAATCATTTGATGTTGATGTTTTTCCTGCTTAAATAAAATTGAAGTTCAGACTTGGTGAATGTTTTACTATTATTATTACTGTTAGTAATTTTTAAAGGTGACATGTGTTACATATCATGAAGTATGAGCAGACTTTGTTGAACTGTAGCATCCTAAATGTTTTTTTATCCCACGAGTCTCGACGAGAGTAAGATGTGATCGAGAGGTTTCTATTTGCCTGCTTCAATCCCACCATTTTATGGACGAGGCTTACCACTTTAATGTTCGGTTCGAGGGTGGCTTCTTACCAACCAAACTTGGTGGTTAGGAAATTTAGGTTGAG